CAGGATGTCCCATGGACCCCAGGGGCCAGGGCTCCCCGGGGGCCTCCCGTGTCCGGCTCCCCATGCCCTGGCCTGTCCCAGGTGCTGCGGCGCTCTCTCTCCAAGTGAGCTAGTGAGCGGCCTCCGCGTGTCCCCCGAGGCCTTCCTTCCTCTGCTGCTCACCGTAGGGTGGACACTCGGGGTCTTTCCAGCTGGGCTCTACGCTGCCCGCGGCGCATAGGTCTCTGCATTTTAAAGGCTGGATCCTGCTCCGACCTGCCTTTCTGGCTTCCTGGACCCTCCCCGTGTCCCTGTGGGCTCAGGAATTCAGCACCACAAGGCCCACCCTGGGCAGAGGAGGAGCCAGTGCCTTCCCTGGGTCTTCAGGGCCCCGTGGCACGGCCTCAGGCCACCACTGAAAGTTGTCACCACAGAGTCCCATCCTCTGACACTCTGAGCTGGAGGGCGAGCTCCATCCACCGGGACCCGGTGCCCCTGGAGCGTCCCTGCCCAGGGGGCGCTCCCCGTCCTCTCAGCGCTGGCCCCGCCTCCGCCCTCCTCTGGGTCCGTGGGCACCTGCTGCCCCGAGGGGTGAGGTGACGTTCCCTCTGGAGCTTTCTGGCGACCCGCCTGGCCCCGGGAGGCCCAGGGGAAAGAGACGCCCTTCTCTTCCCAGAAAACAGATTCTTCACGGACACTTTTTACCCTTCCTGTCCATTCCTTCCCCTGTTCCCCAATCGGGGCCTTCCCCTCAGTCCTTTGTGTGAGGAGCGGCCGTGGGGAGACAGGGTCCTCTTGTCGGCAGTGTTCTGTCCACCGCTGTTCTGCGTCCTGCGGGTCCCAACAATGGGGCCATTATCAGTGGCTCCCCTCCAGGGCTAACAGGCAGCTCGCTGCCAGGCTGAATGCGAGGGGACAGTGTCACATGCCGGAGCCCCAGCTTGGCGAGCTCCGGGGGCTCCCGGGGGCTGTCGCTGTCATTCCATCTCTGTGAATGACTGTTGGGAACACAGCCATCCGCTGGTTTGGGATTCACACCATTTATCCTCCGAGAACGGAAGCCTCTTTTCCAAAGAGGGGCTGGTCCAGCCGCCTCTGGGCCTTGAGCTCTGGGCCAACCCCCTTCTGACCGCCAGGGCTCCAGGCCACACCAGGCTCGGCCAGTCCCGTCAGGAAGGTGGACAGCCCAGAATGCTAGGACTGTCCCCAGCAGCGCGCTGGGAAACGACCTGGGTGACGGTCTGCGAGGCAGAACGGCTCGGTGCCCGGTTGGGCCTGGGGGTCCTGCACGGAGATCGACTCCCACCCCTTCCTTTTGTCAGTTGCTGGGGCTCACTGTTCAGGGGACTCCAGGTCCCCCAGTTCTGGGGACTGTCACCAGCGCATGTTCTGGCCCCTCAGTGGGCGCTGGAGGCCCTAGTGTTTCCAGAATCCGTGCTGAGAGATGGCTCTCAGCAAGCATCCCTCCGCCGGTCCGCCCGTCTGCTGTCCCTGGGTGCTGAGGGCTGTGTCAGGGGGGCTATGGGCAGCAGTGGACAGAGGCAGAGGGGTCCCTGCGTATCCCGGGGTCTGGACACCCCAGCACTTCCAGAGCTGCTGGAGGAGGAGAGCCAAACCACCACCTGCAGCCGCAGGGCCCTGGACACCCCCGAGGGCCCACCGTGGGTGGGTGGGGGAGGTTCTGTGGGACAGGAGCCTCACTGGGCGAGGGCCTCAGGACGGAAGCTGTGATGCCCACCCACCCCAGCTAGGTCTGGCGGGAGGGCAGAGGCCACGAGACTTGGAGGCTGGTGTGAGTCCTGGGAATCTGGGAGCTGCCACTTGGAGGTGCAAATGGTGGAGGGAGGGTGGCAGGTGCCGGTGGGGAGCCAGGCAGAGGGCTTGGAGGAGGCCCGGCCAGGCTGCACCTGCAGGTGAGAAGCTCCCTGTGGGAGTCGGGTCTGGTGGCCAGGCGATGGCCGAGGAAGGGCAGGCGTCAGAGCCCCAAGGCCAGGCCTAGGCCACTGAGAATGGGGTCTCTCCAGGAGATGAGGCACCAGAGGGCCAGCCCTCAGCCTCGCTACCTAGCACCGCCATCTCATGGCCGTCTGCCACCCAAACCTGGCCAGGCCCACCTTGGAGCAGGTGGAGGGGTAGGAAGAAGGGGCTTTGCCCAGAGGCTGGGGGTCTATGGAGCAGCTGGCAGGGAGGAGCAGAGGAGAAATGCAGTGACCAGGGCAGGGGTGGACGTCCAGAAGCAAAGCCTGGCTGCCAGGAACGTGAGCTGACCTGGGAGCCAGCGGGAAGTTGAGGTGGTGAGGGCCCTGGGAGGCCCACCTCGGTGCAGCAGGGCTCTGAGGGGCCGGGCCCTGGCCTTTTGAGGTGTATGCATCACAGTCCTCTTGGTTAGAGCAGGATGGGTTGGGGCTGAAGGAAGGTGGACATCAGGAAGGGGTCCCCAGAGGAGGGGCAGCCTGCACAAGGCCAGAAAGGCGCCTGCGGGAGGCTGGATCTGCTCCTCCCAGCCCCAGGGCCTTTGCTCATCCCTGTTCACCTGTCTGGCACAGGGAAGGTGGCTTTGGGGACCAGATTCCTCTGTCATAGCTGGGGACCTCGGCTGGGGCCAAGCCCCACCCTCCCCAGAGGTCTGGGTCCCTCCCCCAGTGAAGCTCCAGGCAGCGAGGCTTAGAAAACCACACAGATTTATTGCATATCAATCTCATGTATAAATTCATTGTGGCATTGGAAAGATTACATTTGGTATACAGTCCTATTCTACAGCATTAACCTCAAAATCAGCTTCTGCTAGGCTTCACCTTAAAGAAATCTCTCTACACAAGTACATCTGTCTTCGTCACGAGCATCAAAATGAAACCTGCAAGACGGCTCTGGATTCTCTACTACACGACAAGTCTTCTCATTTCACCGCCCTCCTGCAGCGACGTCCGGGTCAGCGAGGGCCGGCCCTCTGCGTGGGCGGCTTAGGGCTCCCAGTCTGGACGTGGACCCTACTCACAGATCCATAAGTGCATCTACGGAATTTTCCTTGTAATAAAATTTCACAAACAGACACGATAATGACCGCTAAACACGAGTCATGCACAGTTTGCTTATAAACAACAGAAGCCATTTACAACCACGGAGGGGTGCGGCGAGCACCGCCCTCCTTCTCGATGGGTTTTTCTTTTCTTTCTTTTTTTTTTTTTAAAAAAAAACAATATATGAAAACCAGACATTTACATTTGATTTCTTTTTCAACACTATACAGTTCTAAAAGAAACAAAACAAAACAAAAAAAACCCCAAAACAGAACTCAACCCAATCTGCCATGTGACAATGGCGTGGACGCACAGGTCTGTGGTCCTTGTGCGGCCGGGGGGCAATGCATATGCAGAAATGCAGACAGACCCTCAGTTACAAAGTATATCTATATACACGCTTTAAATTACAGATTCTGACACCAGGGCTCCGCTTCCCTTGTGCTGAACAAGCGGCGAGACCGGAGGCGCTGAAGGACATCTCTAGAGTTACCTTGTTCACAGGTGAATTGCGCGTTTGGAAACTCAAGCTGCCTGTAGGTATTGGGATTTCTTTTCTTTTCTTTTCTTTTTTTTCCAAAATTGGTAACTATGAATCCGTGACAGAAAAGAATGAATAAACAAACAAATGAAAAATGGAATGAAAGAGAAAGGGACTCTTCTCGGAATGACGCAAGACGTCTTCGTCACAGTATCACTCAATGCGGCCGACAGTTCCATGGCTCTGGACACCCAGCTGACCTCCACTGACCAGAACGGTGTCCGGTGTTCCCAGCCGGGAGGGAGCGCCGCCCCGGCTCCCCGACCCCCGTCCCCATCCTGTGGCAGTATGGGGCAAGCCCTCCTCTCCCCTCCCTGGAAGAGCTCAGTAGGTTTCAGTCACTCAGGCAGGGGACGAGGATGGGGACAGAGGCCACAATCCAGTGCTAAAACACGTGATATGTATCAGGAGGGTGTTTGCATATACTCGCTGGGGAAGTAGCAGAAGCAGAGGGGCCAGGGGCCCTCGGGTCTCCAGGGCTGGACTCTGGGTCACGGGGGTCTGGGTCCAGCAGGGTCTGGAAAGGCCAGCTGCACTCTTGGTCTGGGGAAGGAGGGCCCCTCGGGCTGGGCAGTGTCTCAGGCCACTCTGTGCCTACCCCATGCACTAGTCCACCTCCCTGGGTCTGCTCAGGGACATCACGGGGCTCCCTCATGCAGAATCTGCCTGTTCAGTAGGACGGGCAGCCGCACATGTCCTCCCTGAGCATCCTGGGATGGGGGCAGCAACAGCACACAGCTGGGGCCTCACCAGGGACAGGGTCCCAGGACGCAGAGGGAAAGTGCAGGGGCCTCCTCTGAATTTCTGTTGGGGGACGAGGACCAACAATCCAAAGGAGTCATCCTCCAGGCCACACACTGGGCAGACTGGCCTCAACTGAGCCACCTTCCGCAGAGGGTGGCTGGCCAGCCAGCCGCCTTGACCCTTCTTTGCCCTTGCTGCAGAGCCACATGGCCCCCCGTTTGGGCTTGGGGCTCTGGGGGCCAGGGTCTTGGCTTGGCCCCCTGACTCCCAGTTGGTCTCCTAGTGTGGAGGACACTGGGCCTGAGTGACCAGACACCAGGAAAGCCAGGAGCCTGGAGCTGGCTGGGTCTGGGGCAGTACCAAGCACTGACGCAACTTGGGGATCGCTCTCTTTGTCAGGGGGTCTAAGGGCAGAGCACCCCAAAATGCCGAGTGCTGGGCCCAGGGGTGTTCAAGAGAAGCTGGGCCTCCTATCCTTGTGGGGACAAAAATACATGACAAATGTGCAGCCAGGGCTCTTTGGAGAGAGGGAAGAAGAGAAGGAAGAGAAGAGAAAATGCACGGGAAGATGCGCCCCAGATGGCAGAACTGGGCAGGGCACCCCAGGGTGACGAGGGGGGCCTGTCTGTCCTGCCGCTGCCAAGACACACCTGGGCCTCCTCCATCCAAACTTCCCGCTGGGAGAGAGCAGCACATCGCAAAGAAAAGCACACACCTTGTTCTTTCGCAGAAGAAATCATATAATTTGGGTTTACAGAAGTGGGGGGTCTGTGTCTGAGGTTGGGTTTTCGTGAGGGTCCCACCTGGTTCAAGGAGGAAGTGGAAATCCCTGGGCCGGACCTGGCGGGTCTGTGAGGAGCCGTCCTGGGCAGGTGTGTTGGCGAGTCCGGCTCCCCGAGGGCGTCTTTCCAGCCTGCCACAGGTGCGCAAGGCCAGTCCCGGGGCAGGCTGGCTCTCTCTTTTAGCAAGGGGAGAAGCCCTTTCACTGGGACCTGCAGGTCCCTGGTGTCTGCAGGGGCCTCCGTCCGGGGTGGGAGTCTCCAGAGCTCACCTGGCCACCTGGCATCAAGAGGCGGTCATCATGGAACACGCCGGCTTCAATACTGCCTATCGCCCCCGGGAGCAACCACGGGGAGGTCCCCGCAGGGCACAGAGCTACACTGTGTCAGGCCCTGTGCCCTGGTTTTGTGCATTTTTGCTCCTCTTTGTTTAAAGGGAAACTGGGGCAATTTTTTTTTCTCTTCTTGTTTTTTTTTTTCTTCCAAACAATAAAAGAAATAAATAGAACACTTGTCTTAAATGCAGCTGAAACTCAAATTTAACAAAACACATGATTGTCTGGTAAATGGGTAGCAGTGACAGCAGGATTCGTGAGGGGGGGACGCGGGGGTATTTGGCACATTAAAAACCGCCCCCCTCCCTGGTTAGTGATCACACGACACACAACCTTATTACACGGTTTTGGTCCTTCACTAGATACTTATATTAACATTATTTCTTCACAATAAGAATGTCTAATGCCAAAAATACTGTTAAGGAAGAAATAAAATAAGAAAAAAAAATGAATTAGAAAAAACTACAAGTTATATACAGATTAAGGTAAATTCCATCAGGAAAAAAGAAATTATTTGAAATTGGCCCCTACGGGAATAATTTAAAGCCGGTCCGAATGGAGAGGTGGACACATCCCCAGGGAGAGAGTGGCCCATCCTGGGGACTGTGCTGTCTCTGCTCTTTGCAGCAGGTCCCCGACCCCTTCTGCTCCCGACCCTGTCTTGTCAAGAACCTGCGCCAAGAGCAGAAGCGGCGGCAGGGTGGTCGGTGCGGAGTCTCAGGCACGGGCAGCGCTGGGCGTCCTGAAGTGGTGCAGCTGGGAAGGGCACCCCACCTGGCGGCCTCGGCCTCGGGCAGGACACTCCAGCTGCTGGGGGTCAGGTGAGAGCAGGAGGTTGGGGACCCAGAGTGTCCCAACAAACCCTGCCTTGAGAAGAGCGGCTGGGGCCAGCCTGGGTGGTGGAGGCACAGAGCTTGCGGGGAGGTGCTCTGCCACACCTCTGCACGCAGGACCTGAGCCACGGGCTCCCGACATCCCCATACAATTGGGGGGTCATGGGTGGGGGCCTGTGGATTTCTTTGCAGGCCACAAGCGGGCAGGCAACCTCCCAGTCCCGGCTCCAGCAAGCCTGCAGCCAGGCACCAAGTCTAGGAATTCCTCAGCAGGGTCTGCGCACGTTCAAAGGAGAGTCCCCGGGCCTCTTTTCTGTCTCGGGGGGCACCCAGAATCACCTTGGCTTGTACAAATAGGATCAACGATAGAAAATTCTCCATTATCTACAGTATAAAGGGTACACCCCAAGCACAGCGCTGGCTGCCCAGGCAGGCTTGGGTTGGCAAATAAGCTGAAATTCCAAAGCAATGCAAAATTACTTTTAAAAAACAATTTGCAAGTCATTTTGTTTGATTTTTTTAAAAAATACTGTCTATTTTTTTTTAAAACCCACATGCTTAAATAGACTCTGTAGTCAATAAGATTACCAAAAGGGTCATTCTGGTCATTTTCATTATAAAAACTGCGCCTGTGTCTCCTCCGGGCACACCTGCGTCCTCTGTGCACTCTCCGGTGCCACGCAGGCTCCCAGAAGCAGCCCAGGGCTCCCATCCGGGCTTGAGATCCCACCCTCACCCGCCACGCTCTTCTCCGAGAGCAGCCTGAGCGTCGCTGGTGCTCGCCCGCCGAGACTGAAGGCTGTTCCCAGGGCCGGTCCTCAGAGGCAGGGAGGTGTGCCACGGCTGCTTTGGGGAGTGTTGGGTTCCAAGTTTTCCCTGGAGAAGTCAGAATTGAACTTGGAGGGTGGGGGCTGGGCGCCGAGCAGTGCTCCAGTGCAGGTGGCGGGGGCTTCCGGGGGCCCGCTGCCATTCCGCGCAGCTGGCACCCCGACTTTGGACTCTGGCCCTGGGTCCTCCTGGCCCCTCAGAGGTGGTTGATGGGGTTAAAGGCTCCAGACTCCGACGTGGCTCCCGCGATGTTCAACCAAGCGTCCAGCGAGCTCTGGGAGGGGGCGTGGAGAGGAGCATCCTCGGAGAGGGACAGCATCATTGCGTATGCCTGGCAGGGGGACGACACAGGACAGGTGAGCAGTGTCACAGACAGGAAGGGCTGAACCTTGTCCCCAACCTCCGCTGGCCCCTGGCCAGCTTGGCCTGGCCCTGTCAGATGGGGAGAGGTGGGCAAAGGTGCCTGGGGTCTTCCCCTGGCCTGGAAGACAGGCGTGTGAGGGGTCAGAACAGGGCAGGGGGTGTTTGTCCAGAGTGGCACCAAGACACGGTGGCCTGGCCAGGGGCCTCTAGTGCACACCGAACCCCGTGGCCTCCTGAGGGTGCTCCCTGCACTCGCCTTTCACCCCCCACTTTGATCCTCCTGGTGACAGGTGTCTGTGCTGGGAGGGCCTTGGGACCTGGTGGAAGGTTCTGCTAAGACCCCACACCCACAGGGTCCTCCCTGCCTGGAGGGGCAGGGGCCTGGGGACACCTGCCTTGGCAGCTGTGGCGTCGTCACAGAGCTACTTCTAGAAACAAAAAGGGCAGCATTTCTGAGCTGACGAGTTACTAGGGAATGGGAATGTGTTTCCCGGCTTTAGTCAGCAACAGGACGTCCTTCTGCCCAGGCCTCAGGGCAGGGGGTGACCAGGCCTGGGACACTCGGAGCGTTCTGTGTGTTCATGGGTGGGGTGATGGGGAAGCAGGTGCCGGTCCCCCCAAGCAAACATTCTGGACAGCATTAGTAGAAGACGAAGACAGACATGCAGACAGCTTTTGATGAGACTCTTGGGCTGGGCCACGCCCTGCAGCAGAGAGAGTGGAGGGACCTGGGCCGCTTGCTGCAGAGGCACAGCGGGCAGGGTCCTGTGGCCACTGCCCTAGGCATGGAGATGAGATGTGCCAGGCTGAGCCTGGTGCCCTTACTCACCCCATGCTGCTCTAGCTTGGAGTGGTGACCACTTGATAGGGCAGCGTCCCCCAGGAAAAGCTGGGTCAGAGATAGGGAGACCCAAGCAGCTGTTCTTGGGACATTACCCACTAGGGATAGGACGAAAGTGGCCCCTACTCCTGCGTCTGAGACCCGGCTGCCCACTCTCTGTTCTCAGCCTCTTCCTGCTTCACCTTGGCTGTGGGACCCTGGTGGTCACTAGGGCCTCACTTGAGTTCAGCTCCGTGGGCACGATGAGGAGGGGTCTGAGCTCCCCTGGGGCAAGGGATGGCCCCAGCGGGAGGGGAGGACCGGGGTTGTCCCTCGGACAAGAGGTGCGGTGGCCCGGAGCCAGGTGGAGACGGAAGGGAGGGCAGGGCTCTGACGGTACCTACCTGGTTCTTAGCCTGCCTGTACAGGGTCTGTTTTAAAGCCTCAGAATCTAAGGTGGAATTAAGCACATCTTTAACTTCAAATGCTTCCTCAGCTGCTCTGTGGAGATCCGGCCCCTTCCCAAAGGCCGGCGTCGGCTCCAAAGCTGACAGGCCGCCCTCTGGCTCCTCAAGACACCTGCACCAAGGACCAGGGGGGCCAGGGTTAGCTGGTCTGGCCGCCGGCCGCCCGTCGGACGCTGCATGACTGGCTGTGTGCCTGCCTGCATGCCATGGGTCTCCACAAGCCACATGCACAAGGAGACAGACACATGGACACAGGACGCCTAGACGGAAGCCACGGATGCAGGAGAGCGGATGGACAGAGGGCCCCACGGGGCCGAGTGGGTCACACACACACACGACTGACAGCAGCTGTGGTCTCTGGTCTAGAGACGGAGGGCGGGGAAGGAGGCCTGCATTTCGAGAGACTCCAGGCAGCTCTGCAGGGGCCCAGGCTGCCCTCCCTGGACCCAGAACTGCCCAGGAAATGCCGTCTCCAGGGGGCCTCCCCTGGGGGTCTTGGAATGCTGGCCATGTCACCCCAGTGCCAAGGGAAGTGCTTCTTGTTGGTAGGACTTCCCTGTACCTACTGCCCCTCTCGAGGCCGGACAGCACTGCTGGGGTGGACGCAGCAGCGAGTAGCCTCATGGCAGTGCCTGGACCCTCAGGTCCTGTCCGACAGAGGACGCCTTCCCTACTGCCCTCTCCTTCCAGCCTCTCGGAGGCTCCAGACCCCCTGGGCTTCCTACGGGGGGGGCTTGCAGAAGCCACACCTGCTGGGCAGGGAGGAGCCCTGGATGGAGGTGCCTCCTGGCAGAGGAGGACGTCCTGAAGAGGACGGTCACCTGGAGATGCCCAGTCCCTCCCCGGCTCTCCCCAGCCCACAGCCGCCCCCACCTTCGGGTGTGGTCAAAGCCCACGGCCAGGGAGGCCGGTGGCTCCTCGTCCTCCTCGTCCTCGTAGACTCCCTGGGGCTCGGGCGTGGGGGACACCGTGTCGTCCTGCGACTTCCCGGCCAGGCTGTCCTCGTCCTCCTCTTCCAGCTCCTCCTCTTCCTCCTCCTCCACATCCTCTGGCTTCTCGCTGGCTAAGCCTGGACACTGGGGGTTGCTGCCTAGCTCCTGGATCTCTGGCCTGAAGCGACAGGGGGGAAGCCGGCTGTGCTCAGGGGCCCTGCCTCGCCCGCCTCCAAGGCCAGCAGGGGCTCGGCTTTTTCCCTGGCCTCCCCGTGGCCTCCCAGCTCTCCCCAGGAGACCTGGCATTTATGTCAGAATCCTTAAGCTCTGGGTCCTGGGCAGCTGGTGGCCTCCCTGGGCCCAGCCATGCTCCCTGCCATGGACGGAGAGCGATGGAGGGGGGGAGGTCACCGGAGAGGAGAGGGCCGTGGGGGGATGCAGGGACAGAAACAGGTCCCCCAGCAGTGGACACCAGGCCATTCAGGGGCTCCCAGGGAGTGCGTGTGTCAGGGAAAAGGCTGCGGCTGGGCCTGGAGAGGTAGTCCTGTGCTTGTGACAGGGTTGGGCACTGCCCAAGGGTGCCTGCACGCCCTGTCCAGGGCCCGTGGTGCCCAAATCTGCACATGTTCCCCAGCCAGGCACAGGGTCTCGGGGCCACGAGGGGACCCCCGAGGGACATGTGGGACACTGGGCTCAAGCTGCCTGCTGTCAGCCGTCTACACCAGCCTGGCCAAGCTTGTTCAGAGACCCCGGGACTCCTGCGGCTCGGATCCCGCCTCACAGCCCCAGGTCACTGCGTCCTGGGCACGAGGCTTCTACTCTGGCTCCTCCTTACTAAAGAAAAAAGAGAAAAGCCAGCGAGGGGGGGAGAGCTCTCAGGCCCCGCAGAAAGTCCCGCCCAGGTGCACTCCTCTTCACGCCCAAGGCCACCAGGGCCCGGGGCTGCAAGCGGGCGCTCCTGCTGGCAGAGGGCCCCAATGAGGGGCAAAGGTGTCCTCCACTGCGGCTTCCAGAGCCCCCACTCTCGTCCTGCTGGGCCCCGGGGGACTGTCGGCAGCAGCGCTGGGCAGCACACACAGTCTCAGGTGGACACAGGGGTCGGTTCTTGGCATTGAAGGTGGCGCCTCCACAGCGCCTGGCTGAGCGGGAGACCCTCGATGGCCAGCTCTCCCAAGACGGGAAGGTGCTGGCGAAGCTGTCCCCAGAGCTGCCCGGTGGGATGTGCAGAGTCTCCAGAGGTCAGGGGCTCAGGGACACATCCAGAGTCACCTTGTTGGCTGGTTGGCCAGGAGCCTCCGTGCACACGTGGGTCAAGCAGCGGGAGGCCCAGGTGCCAGGGACATTGGGTCCTGCTGCCTGCCCTGGCTCTCTGTGGGGTGACCTTGGCAGGGGTTTGGCCTTTGGCCCTCACAGTCCACTCTGCAGACAGGATGAGTGGCAGGTGGACCGCAGGCCGACGCCTCCTCAGGTGTGCCGGGCAGCCAGGTGCAGACGCCCCAGGCGGGTCCCACGTAGGGCTGTGTGGAATCCTGCTCTCTGGGGAGCAGGATCTACCCTCTTTCTTTCCTGCCTGCTCACCCTGCACAGGACACTTGCCATGGGTGCGGGTGCACCAGGGTCCACGCAGGTCTGGCCAGCTGCTCTCGGCTTCAGACAGGAGGACGGCCACTCGGGTTGGCGACGTGCTGGTGGCCTGGGTGCTGACAGCTCCGCAAGCCGACGCTCCCGAGTCAGGGAGGTGTGGCTCAAGGTCCTTGTGAATTTGAGGGGAAACTGTCTCCTGGCTCCTGGCGTCTCTGTCCTCTGTCCCCACGGGGCTCTCCTGTGTGTTCACACTGCCCCTTTCGTAAGGGTCCAGAGGCCACCTCACTCCAGCAGTCCTCACGGTCACTCCCTCTCCCCTGTGGAGACCCTGTCCCCACACTGTCATGACCAGGTGCGCCGGGGTGAGGGTTCCATGGGGGAACTCTGGGAACACAGTCCAACCAGGGGCTGAGGGGGTTGCTGGGCCAGGAAGCCTGGCAGGCCTTGGCCTCACCTACTGACCGAGAGCCACATGGTGTTAGCTGCTTCTAGCCCCAGGTGGGACTGCCAGTGTCCCCACCAGGCGGGCTGACTAAAGTCAACCGTGCCCCACTATCATGGGTGACAGTGACAGGGAACAGTGAAGGGCAAAGCCAGCTGGGCCCTGGGCCTCGCTGCAGCAGGACAGGCTGTCCGGGGCCTGGGTGAGGCCCAACCTTGGGCTTTGTGGGGCGTGGGACCAGGTGTGCCCGGGTTGGGGCTGCCCACCCTCTGGCTGTGGGGAGGGGCAGTGGGGAGGCCTGCTGGAGAGCCCCATGGCCAGGCCAGGGTCGGGATGGCAGGGCTCCTGTCCTCATCCGCAAGCTGGGACACTTGTCCTTCCAGAGATGCCCCTGTCCTCGTGGCTCAGTGGAGGGCCTGACCTGCCACTGTGCTGCGTGGGGGTCTTGCTGTCCTCAGACTGCCCCAGGACCTTGGCACTGGCCCTGGGTCACCCAGTGAGGACGCCAAGGGCGAGTTCTAACTCCTTCTTTGTCTGGCTCTGCCCAGGGCCTCGAGGGCCGGGTGGGGTGGTCTTTGGCAGTCAGGAGGTGTTCTCAGAGTGGCAGGAGAGGGCCCTTCAGTCCCTGTGTCTGCAGCCAAGGATGGGGAGCAGGACTTGGGCTGCACCTGGCCCCGGGTGAGGGTAAGAGGGCCCTACAGGTGACTCTCCTTGCCGGGGGCAGAAGCACAGCTAAGTTCTCTGTCACTGATTGCTCAAGGGACTTCCCCAAGGTCCCAGGAGCACCAAGGGCAGGAGGTGCAGCCCTGTCCTGGAAGGGCAGCCAGGCCTGGGGCAGCCGGGTCTCCAGGGACCTTCCTCACACCCGAGCTGCAGCCACCAGGGCCACTGGGATGGGGCTGGGGCTGGGCTGCAGGCTCTGGGCTGGCTGCCGGGCTGGGCCAGGCACCCCTGTGCGGAACCCGGGGTCCCTGCCTGAGCCCTTCTGGGGTCTGCAGCACCTGGCTGTCCTGCAGATGTTCTGCATCCTGTCTTGTGGGCTCTGAGCTGCCCTCTGGAAGGAGGGCCCTGGGCAGGCCACACACAGAGCCCTGGGCGCAAGGTTGCACAGAACACCCAAGTCCTGAAGCCGAGTCCTGCCACTGTTCTGCTGTTCTGTGTGTGCACGTGTAGAGCATTGTACACACGCACATGCCCACACATGCACACGCTACGCATGTGCACCCACACATGCCCCCACATACACGGTATGTGCATGCACACATATGCATAAGCACATGTGTGTGCATGTGTGTGCCCTGCCTGCATGCACATGTGTACATGTGTGTCACATGCCTGCTTGTGTGTATGGTCTCTGACTTTGTGGTTCCACTCAGGATTTCTCAACTTCACAGTGGGATGAAAGTGATTTGTATTTGCTGGAAACCTTACTTTGAATTTTGGACTTCAGACAGGAGGACATGTCTTAACGCTGGGCAGTGGCAGTGAGTCACAGCCTCCGCTAGCCCTACGGTCAGGAGGGACAGCCAGGCCTGCACAGTGCGGGATGTAGGGATGACATTTGACATTAGCACTCACCTGAGGCTGAGGTGCGTGTTCTGCGCACACCTCAGCAGGTGTGGCCACACTGGAGTTCAGAAGTCAGGCTGCGGACGGCAGCTTCTGCTTACAACATGTCCCACGCGGGATGTTTTGTGAGGACATGGCCCCACTGTAAGTTGAAGTGTGCCTGTGTAGGTGTGTGTGTGTGTGTGTGTGTGTATGTGTGTGTGTGTGTACAAGCATGTTTAAAGGGGCAGCAGTCTTGCTGGGAACCATTAGTGAGTGCCTGGAGTGGACAGAAGCGCCCTGGGCTTCTGGGCATGGCTGGGCTGTGGCAGGAACTCTGCACATGCATCTGTTGACAGCGGCAGAGCCAGTGCCGCTCAGCTGTGTGCCAGGCACCGAGTCCCTCACCTGGTGGCTCTGCGATGCTGGGGGTGGGGGGACAGCCAGGCAGGGGCCTGCCTCTCACGGCCTGGGGCCTTCCTCTGCCCTGGGGCCTGGTCCTGTCCAGGGTCGAGGTCGCCTGCCCTGGCAGAGGGTAGCCAAGGTCAGCCCTCTGGGCCGGGTGTGTCTCCCTTACCGCTTGTCTGTTCTCGAGGATGCCTGGCTCATCTCGCTGTTGGCGATGAAGTTCCTGATTTCAGAGAAGTAGGAGTCCTCTTTCTCGTCTAAAAGTGCGTGGTTGTCCGACTCGGAGGTGGGGGAAGAGGCACCGGTGCCCAGGTGGTTCGTGAGGACCCCCGCGTGCTGGCTCACTGTGGAGGGGCAGGTGTCAGGGGCACCTCGGCAGGACCTGCCTGGAGCGCTCTCAGCTGCCCTCCTGCCTGCCCCCCCCAGCACCTCCCCTCCTGCCTGCCTCCCCCCCCGGGCTTCCGGCCTCCTCCGCTTCAAAGCGGCCGGCGGGCTTTACCTGCCTGCCTCAGAAAAGCAGTGGGTTTGAAAGGGGAAGTGGTATTTCAGGCACTTAATTAGACCCAGGACAAGAATGGAGCTGGCTCTGGGGTCAGGCCAGGGGGGATTGTGGGGGATTAACACCCAGGTAAACACATCAAGGCTCACCGGCCTCTGGCAGGAGGCGGCCAGAGAATCCTGGGCAGCAGC